AACTATTTCTCTAGTGAGAGGAATGAATGTTCACCCAAAAGGGGGAAATGAGGACTCCGTAGCTTCCTGTTAAATCAGATCTGCTTTTCGTACTTGGGTGAATTTGTGAAGACACTTTCAGACTAAGAACTGTGTTCGATTAGTTGATTTTCATCTTTAAAACTTTAACTGTGGGAGTAACCTTGACTCATGAGTAAAAATCTCTCTTCTTTATATGACCGCCCAGCTTTGGGTGGGAGGAGGGGTTGCCAGAGTCAGGAGACAGTGTTTTCCGGAAGGGTCTCCCTTATCGGGGAAGGAAAACGTAGCCCAGAAACAGTTGAAAGGACTTCTTTAACCGTTTTTTCCCCAGTTTTATTGAGATGTGTTTCACATTAGATGTTATATTAGCTTCAGGTGTGTAACATGGTGACGTGATCCTTGTATAAATTGCAGAATGATCCCAGTATGTCTAGTTAACATCCATCCCTGTACATAGTTACACATTTTTTCTCTCGTGATGTTAACTTTTTTTAACATTTTTTATTGATTTATAATCATTTTACAATGTTGTGTCAAATTCCAGTGTTCAGGACAATTTTTCAGTTATTCATGGACATATTCGTGATGTTAACTTTTAAGATCTACTCTCTGAGCAACTTTTGAATATACAGTATTGTTAACGACGGTCATTATGGTTGTATATTGTATGTCTGTGCCTTATTTATAATGTAACTGTTAGTTTGTGCTTTTCAACGCTCTTCACCTGTCCTCCCCACACTCCACCTCCCACCTCTGGGGACCACCAGTCTACTCTCTTCCTGTGAGTCTGGCTTTTTGAAAAGACTCCTCATATAAATAAAGTATCTACAGTATTTGTTTTTCTCTGTCTGACTTACTTCACTTTGCATAATGCCCTCAAGGCTCATCCATGTTGCCCCCAATTGTAGGAATTCCTTCTTTATGGCTGAATAATATTCCATTTTGTGTCTTAAAGAGCGGAGGTGGGTCACACAACCATCCTTACCTGCAGTAAAGCTAAAAAAAAAAAAAAAAAAGAACTTTTCTGCTTCCTAAAGGGAGATGTTGGGAGCCGGGGATGTGTATTGGAGAGCCTGCTGTCACCAAGCGGGAAAAGCTCTATTTGCCCTTTCTGACTGCAGGAACGACTCAACACCACCACCATTACTTGCGTTTTCATCTTCAGTGCATTTAAGCCAGTCGGCGTAAAAATTACAGCGTGCTGGCTTTGCCTTCAGCGAGGAGGTTTTTCTGTGTCATGCTGTAATGTGATTGTGGTGTTGAGGGACTCCCCCCGTCCATACGTAGCCTGTTTTGAGATCTGTGTATTTACAGCTCACGCAGAAAGCTTGAAAGGCATCTCGGATAGAGATGTAAAAAGGTCTGCTGAGTCATAGCTGTGTTGCCATTCTTTTCACGATTAGAATCCAGACTGTCGATACATTTATATTGTAATCTACCCATCCTTTTGGAGAGATGAGAGCAAATATGAATCCAAAAGGGGTTAATTTCTTTGCCCAAATTCGGAGGTCAAATCGAAGGCAAAACTTGCACCAGATGCGATGCCAGTGTCCCCCCCGTCCCGTCCCACTCCTGTGCGCTTTACCTAATCTCCCCAAATAGGAATGCCACTGTTCTTGTGGGAAAAACTTAAACTGAATCAGTTCTGTCCCCTCAAAGCCCTGTCCCTGCACGCCTCTCTGTGTCGGTCTGATTCCGCAGAATTTTATCAACATGATACTGCCTTGCTCTCATACGCTTCTATTTTTACTTCTGAATTATCTCTTGATGAGAATACACTTAAAATTTTTATTAGGGCTCATCATTGGCTTCTTTCCTCTACAGCATCTTCCCTTCGTTTTTGCACATGGCTTTCCCCGTCTGCAATAATAAAATATTCATGATTGGAACCTTCCTTTAATAGCCAAGGTGACTTATGAGTGTCTGCCCGCTATCCCAGCCACATAAGGTCCTAGATGTGTTTATTTATTTGGGAATTTTAATTTACAGAAAATGTTTTCCCCCCAAAGTCTTGCTTAGGTATAACTTTAATTCCCTTTTCGTGTTACCATGTGCAATGAGTGTCATGCCCAAGGCTGTGAGAGAAGAGAAGTCCTGGGTGCTGTGGTTCTGCTGGGGGTCCTTTGACCCATTGAGCCATTCTTGAATTCCTCTTCCCCGCTTTCTCATTAGGTTGATCACCATTTTTCCATCGCTCTCCGCATCTCCTTCCTCAGAAACACCCCTTCCTCTGCACTGTGTCTTAAATGGACCCGGGCAGAAAAGACAGCTGCCTCGGATAAGCTTCCGGAGTCCGGACACTTAGCAGCTCACCCATACAGATCTCCACTTCTCTACCCTCTGATCTTAGCTCCTCTCTGGCCAAGATAAAATTCCTTTGGATCTTTGATCTCATAACTGCGTCAAGGGATTGCCAGCCTGGGTGAGGGGTCGAAGATGGAGTTCATCCCCGTACAGTGAGGCTCAGAGGAGGAGGAAGGGCCGGGGGGAGGCGGAGGGGGCGGGCAGGAGGGGGAGGAGGACGAGGCCTTGGGTTGAAGAAGTCACGCCAGGGTGCAGAAGAGCATTTGACTTCCCTTTTGCATTTGCACTATTGATTTCCTTTCATATTTGCAGTGGTTGCAATTTAAAAAATGTTTCTCTCCATGGGTCCCTGTATCACCGGATTTTGACCCATGGCAAGTTTTCAGGTAGACCAGGTGCGTTTAGCTGGTATTAGCGTGTTAAAGAAAGAACCGTGTGTGTGTGTGTGTGTGTGTGTGTGTGTGTGTGTTTGTGTGTGTGGTGGGAAGCG